TCCATCCAATCAACAACCAATGATTTATTCTGAATGTAACAATACAGCAGAAAAAAAATCAGTTTCTGCAATACAATTTTAAATATTCTTTCAGTGCAACTTCCAGGTCTTGTGAATTAAAATAATAATAATTAAACTCCTTTCTTGGCTTTCCTTTTTTACATAATTTATAATATACTATTTTTATTATTTTGTTTTTTTAATGAAGTTTTGGTCACATAAATTGGCCTGGATGTAACATTGGAGCTGTGCTTTTAGCCTGCTATTGTACTGGTTTATTTGGTGTAAAATAAATTAAGGATGAGTTATGATTAGAATTGCTTAACAGTTTTTCCTCAGAGTTTGTCATCTTCCATATTTGCAACTTTTTCAGTTTTCGTCAACCTCAGACTCCAATCTGCTCCAGACTCCAAACTCCTTGTACGCTTCATGCCTGCATCCTGATTAAATTGATGAAGGTGATGCAGGCGTAATGTCAGCCATCAAATTAATATGACAAGCTACCCAGCCTGACGACTCAGGGTGAATTATTACAATCATTTTTCCAATCATTTTCTCGGTCTCTGAGAAATGTGTTGCTGATATCCTCCCTGAGATCTTGAAGTCTGAAATGTCTGACTTTTGCCCTCTGATATACACATTGTGTGATGGAGAGAAGTAATCGGACTTACAAGAAACCAGTCCTTGAGTCCAGGCAGCCCTCAGTCTCATTATGATAGTCTGTTGCTGTGAGAGATTCCAGATTTAATACGTTTTATTCTCTTCCTTTTTGTCCCGTAATGCCTTTATACCAGGTCTTAATGGGCACTTACATGGAGAGCGATTTGCAGCAACGATGTGACTGGAAGTCATTTGTTTTCAATAATAGTTGGAGATTTGAAGTTCACTGTTGGAGACAGTGAAACTCACTCAATTTGTTGCCGCCTTTGGATACTTCAGTGAAGTAAAATTGCCTTGTCAACCTCCCACGGTATCAGCATCAGTGTGAGTGCTCCTTTATGCTACAAGGTTGAGCTCTTTCAGGCTGTACAGGCAATTATTAGATTCCTCGGTTCATTTCTTAACTATAGGTATTCCATTTTCAGTTGTATTTACCCAGCAACAAGATATTAACCTGACCCTGCCTTTACTGCAACATTTAATGAACTCTGAACCAATCCTGATACCTTTTTAATTTCTGAAAAAAAAAAAAAAACTGTTCTACTTTTTCCAAGTGCCTTAGCACTTCTTCTCAACTCTGGATTTTAGCCACTCTGTGTACAAGACACTTCACGATTTAAACAACCTTTATGTTGAGAATTTCCAGCCTCTCTGCAGTGGCTGTTATTAAATGTTAGGTTGCTCCACGCCATTAAATGGGACCTTTTCAAAGCTCTGCGTGTATGTCCACGCAGTGTGAAATTGAGTTTTATGAAGTGCGGAGTTCAGAGTCAGTGGGAACGTCGAGCGGAACACGTGTCACGGAGGTTAAACTGAGAGCAGTGAACTGGATTTCTTTATTCTGCAAAGACATCTCTATGTATCCAGCTCATAATACAGTCACAAAATCTGATAGTCTTGCACATTGTCTGCTGAGATTACCTCACCTTAAAATGACACGGCTCAGTGTCACCCTGGGTCGTTTCCGGGTGACTTCCCTGTGATTGTATTCTGGTGATGATTGTTGGAGGACAGTTTGCAGTCACGGAAACATTAGGGTGTTTCTTCAACTTTTGTGTTTTATAACTTTTGCTGCATTTCAATAGCTTTGGTTTTATCCTTGTTGTATTATTGCATGTACTAATTTATGAGCATCTAAACACGTTTATAAATTTTAATTAAAAATGTTCAATTATGGCTGTCCCACAGTCTTTCTTCATTTTATACTGTACTTGTTTGCCAACCTTGTGCCATTGAAGAGCATGCTTGAAATGATTTATTATATAGTCTTGGGTAAAAGTTTGGTGTTAGTATTATTATTATTTTATTTTTTATTTTTTGGAAGAAATTAATACTTTTATTCAGTAAGGATCCATTAAATTGACAGTAAAGATATCTATAATGTTACAAAATATTTCTATTTCAAATAAATGCCATTTGTTTTGAATGTTCAATTCATCAAAGAATCCTGAAAAATATACCACAGTTTCCACAACACTGATAATAAAAGAAATGTTTTTTAAGTACCAAATCAGCATATTATTTCAGCAGTAATTGCTGCTGAAAATTCAGCTTTGCCATCACGTGAATATTTATTTATTTTATTTTTTTATTTGATTTTGGTTAAATAAATGCAGCCTTGGTTAGCATAAGATGCTTCTTTCAAAGACATTTAAAAAATCTTATCAACCACAGACTTTTGAATGGTAGTAAGTGCATGACAAAAATTCAATCAAGGTAAATAACACTTAAACAAGATATTTTGTGCATCACATACAGTCAAACTGTAATTTTAACAAATGATACAAAAAAGTAATTTTTTTTTTATTGTGTAGGATACATAAAATGCTAGCAATGAAATTAGCCTCAGACACAAAGTGTTTTTTATTACTTTTATTATTTGCATCTGCAATGCATTTGTTAACTTTTATTGGATAAATTGAATTTTAACATTTAAACGTGTGTTTAAGAGTTTATTTTCTAAAGGGCCAAAATGCCTGTAGTTGAAGAAACATCCATCATGGAATAAAGATTCGACTCTTAGCAGCATATAACCAAAGTCTCTTTAATGCAAGTCTGTTTACTCGATGGGCATCTTCATAACAGCATCCCCGGGCAGCTATTTGTGTAGGTAATAGGCATTTGAGTACATTTTCTGTCTGCTTGAATGGGAACAAAAATTGCCAGAAGATTGCATTTCAATAATATATCTCAAATCCGCAATAAAATCTGACAACAAGGGTATAATACGCTTTTGCTGGTGTGTTCATGTTGTTTGGGAAGGACATTGCAGTGCTCAGTGAATGCCAAGGACCCAGTTCAGATATCAGATCGTAATGGAGAGTTTAACTATGCCACTAAAGGTTCCTGAATCTTTAGCCTCTCTCGAGAGGGAAGAAAGGTCAGCGAGGCGGGAATGGAAGCTAGCAGGTTGTGGTGTCAGTTAGCCGCCAGGGTCACTGATGGACGGTTTGTGTGCTTTAATAGGGTCTTTAAATACGCATGATTCACAGTTCTGCCGTTCCTCCTACTCAAGCGTCGGGTTGCCAGATTCTCTTGCGAACACTGAGCGTTTCTTGCCAGTGAGATGGCTGTATTACAGAATAGTGAGGGCATTAATCTGATGGCAGGCCGTGTGCTGACACTTGCCATGAATGCAGAATCTGATTAAATAAATCCAGAAATAATGCTTTTCTGTCCCGGTGGACACAATCTACTTGCATTAACAATAGCAGCAATCAGGAATCCACTGGAGCTGTAAACTTTCAATAAGAGAAGAGTATTTAATGGACCCCTAGCCAGGCCTGATGCTATATTTTACGTGAATGAGATTGAGGCTGTGAGGGTTAGCTGCTGTTCGTTCTAATAGGTTGTGCTGTCTTGAGGTGCTATATAACATCTCTATATCACGCCAGTTTTCTCAGAATCATTGTTTGAAGGAACCGTGTATTTTCAGTGTTTCGGCTGAGCAATTGACTAGCCTTTGATTGTCTCTTCCTCGTAGCTTAATTTTCATTTGCGCAAATGAAGTATCCCTGATTAAGGTCCATTGAATGCTCCTGCTCTCTCATTAAACGTTTATGGCTATTTATTTTATTATGCAGTAGATAGAAATTATATTTACTCATCCAACTGTTTTTTACTATATTATTTGTCATAGTTGTTAATATATCACCTGATTATTCTGTGAATTATTCTGTTTTCCTTTTAACAGGACTCTTCCTGCATATATTATCGTACTTATGTATTTTTTATGAACTAGGCTTTGCTTAGTCCTGAGCTTTTTCTATGCTAAAAATAGAATGTTTAGTTTAGTTTAAAACTTTATGGGGAGTTTTAAAAAGCTACTTGTCTTCTATTCTGGTGTTAGTGAAGAAAAGTTTCAGAATGACTACTCTGGAGTTTGGAGAGATAGCAGGACACGGTTTGCTGAACTTGGGCTGATAAAGGCATTAGAGAGGATTACACCGTTTAATTGCAGCTTTGTTCATAGTGCTTTTGTTTGAGGTTTTTGTTAATCAAGTGTGCATCAAATTAATGGTTCCACGTTGATAAAGACTATCAGGAAATGTATTCATTTGAGCATTTTTGTGTTTATAGTGTTCACAAAAAACTGGAAATAAAACACCTAATAAATAAGTAGTGTTTTTTTTAATAAAGAAATTAATAATAATAATAATAATATATGCGTGTATAATATAGTAAAACAATTTAACATAATTATATAGCCTACATAAATAACATAATACTACTACCTTCATAGCTATACAAATAACATCTTTTTTGTGGGTATTGCAGGGTAAGTGCAAACCTGTACTACCTTTGTATTTTTTATTTATTTAAAAAAAAAAAAAATTTTTTAAGTAATTTGTTATTTATGGTTAAGTCTATAATATTCAACTCTGTATCATTGAGTATTTTTTTATTTATTCATCTTGTGGCAGAAAAACTGGCCTAAAGGACAGACCAGCAGAAATCCTTGTTCAAGTATGCATGACTGATTGAACAGGTGTTTTTCTGTTTGTGTGCACTGAACACAGCGAGTCAACTTTTCTTGTCCTTGAAGATACATGTCCTTCAAGATTCAATAGCTGAAACGTCTTTTTCCATCTCATTAAATAGTCCATATTTTAGCTGGTTGTTAATGGTTTAAGTGCTTCCCGGTGGATGTTGTAGTCTTTGGCATTGGTGGTGATTGGCAGCTGAGTATTTATACAGAAAGAACTGTCATTTAGGAAGTGTTTTAACACACACACCTCTTCTCGCCATCAACCACATTGTGACATGCCGGTGTTGATAAAATGCTCTTTAAAAAAAAAAAAGTCATTATAATGTTCTCATCTGTTCTTCTTTGTTTACAGGTTCAACTACAGATCGACTAAATCATTTGTTTATTAATTATTTGATCATTGTTCACAGTGTATTAACATTTCATTTTTAAAATATATTAGAAACTGTTGAAATTAAGATTAGTAAATACTGTAGGAGTATTGTTCAGTTCATTGTTAGGTCATGTAAATGTAGATAACAAATAAAAAAAAGTGATGAATATTAATAAATGGAACCTTTTTGTAGTGTTACCATATTTCCTTTATTTTTCTTTTTAATATCTTTTCCTTTATTCCATTTTTTCCTTTTCTTTTTTTTTCATGTGTGAATACACTGTGAAATACGCATATCGCAGTGGCACATTTTCCAGTATTTTAAAACTAATACAAATGTTTCATTTAAGATCAAGATTGATTTAACCTCAGTGCATGTGAATCTTTCTGCCATCCACACCCACCGCTAAAGTAGCTCTTTTAAAATCTATTATGCCGTTTCCTGACAATTCCTTTCACTTCCTAATCTAGAAATACTGCTACAAATTATTTGTAGTTGAATGCATGATGTACACATTGTTGCTGCATTCTCATGCTGAATGTTTGCATTTTATATAGTCGCTTGTGACTCAACATCACAAACGGCATGAAATCATTTCAGCTTCTTCCAAGCTTAGGGATTGGCTCGATTTCTTTGACAGCAGGCTTCTTACATTATAACGCTCTGACCTTGTTCCACGAACTGTTGCTGCTACAGCATTATTCACATATAGCATCAATACAGAACTTCCAGTAATGTTTCAGCTCTGTAAATTGCTAGATCTGTTTTTTCGGCATTTCAACAACGGTTCTTGTTAATCTATGACCTCTATATAAAGAAAAAAGCAGTTAAATGCCACAGGCTGTTTATGTGCAAGCGCCTATGGACAGACAGCATGGGCGATTTCTGCTTGAAAACTGCATCTTCGTCCCTAAATAAGGCCACCCCCTTTAACACTCCCTGTCACTGAGAAGTGCAATGCTACTGAACCTAATGAGCTCCTTCCCTGGCTGGAGAAAGTTTGGCTAGCGTTTGGCATCTGACAGCTCTGGTGTTGGAGCTGTAGGGGGACTGCAGAAGGCAGGGAACAGCATCTGTTATGTACACTTCAAGCAGTCGTTATACGGCCTTCAGAGCAGGCTGGTCTGTTCTCGGCAGAGCCTGCAGACGCCGCACATCACATGAGAGATGAAAAAGAGAGGGTGGGAATGTGGAGGTAAAAGACAGGGTATTTCCTTTCTTGCTGTTTTTGGCTGCTAAATTCAGCTTCGAAAATGAAAATTGTCATAATTTACTCACCCCTCATGTTGTTCCAAATCTGTATGACTATTTGTGGAACACAAAAGAAGATATTTTGAAAATTTACTGACCCATCTACAAACGTAGATGAATTTGTTTCTTCATCTGAACAGAAATTTTGCATTACATCACTTCCTCACCATTAGATCCTCGGCAGTGAATGGGTGCCGTCAGAATGAGAATTCAAACAGCTGATAAAAACATTTAAAAAATCAACACGACTCCAGTCCATCAATTAATGTCTTGTGAAGTGAAAAACTGAGATGCATGTTTATGAGATGCAAATCCATCATTGAGGTGTTCTAACTTTGAACAGTCACTTCTGTCCAAAATATCATTTATAAAATACCAATAATCCATAATAACATTTCCTCAAGTGAAAGAGTCTGTATCCTGTTTTCCTCTCACGTGAAAATATTTGTTTAGAACTGTTTTGGATTATTTTTGCTTGTAAACAGTTCTTGATCTGTGCATATTTCTCTCCTGATTCAAATGAGACAACTTTTTCACTGGAAAAAGCAATATTGTAGATGGAGGATGCCAACATTTTAAAGATAAAAATGTTTTATTGATGGAATTGTCAGTGAAGGATTTGCTTTACACAAACACAGCTTTTCACTTCACGAGACGTTAATTGATGGACTGGAGTCGTATGGATTACTTGTGGATTATTGTGTTGTTTTTATCAGCTGTTTGGACTCTCCTTCTGACGGCACTCATTCACTGCAGGGAAACCACTGGTGATGTGCTAAATTTCTCCAAATCTGTTCTGATAAAGAAACACATCTACTCCTTGGAAAGCCTGAGGGTGATTGAGGGAAATATTGGGGTGAACTATTCCTTTAAGATGATTGATTACCAGGCTTCTAAGGGTGTGCTTGGGCTAAACTTCTCATTATCTTGGGTGTCTTGGGGCCAATCAAATATTTAGGAATGTTTACACACTTTCTTACAGCTGCTGATTGTGTTTATTTATTTTTTTCCTCTCTCTCAAACTGCTGCAGGCAAACTTCTGGTTGATCAATTTTGCATTTGATTACAACTAATAGCAACTGTGTTCCTGTGGCTCAGTGGTAGAGCATTGCGTTAGCAGCGCAAAAGGTCGTGGGTTCAATTCCCAGGGAACATACATACTGGTAAAAAAATGTATAGCCTGAATGCACTGTAAGTCGCTTTGGATAAAAGTGTCTGCTAAATGTATAAATTATTATTAATGAATTATTAACTCCCATATCTCGTCTTTTGCAGGTATATCCTGGTCTGATGGTGACGGCGGGACTGATCCACTACATACTGAATCTGCTTCATGTGACGGTGCACATACGTGATGTCTGCGTGTTTCTGGCCCCTGTTTTCAGCGGCTTGACCTCCATTTCTACCTTCCTGTTGACACGGGAGCTGTGGAACCAGGGTGCCGGCCTGCTGGCAGCATGTTTCATTGCCATCGTACCAGGCTACATATCACGCTCTGTGGCCGGTTCGTTTGACAATGAGGGCATTGCCATTTTTGCCTTGCAATTTACCTACTACTTATGGGTGAGTTAGATTAAAATATCACACTTTGTTTATTCATCTTCGTTCATCAAAACTATCGATTTTGATATACCATGTCTTATGAAGCCATTTGATAGCCATTTATCGTTATTTACTGTTAATCATGACATCTGTCCTCACGAGAGAACAAGAGTTCACAGGGGCGGAGCTAGGGTTGGCCACCCCACTCACAACTGCTGCTTTTGTCTTTTTTCTTGACAAGAATTGCATTTATTTAGATGCAGAACTTCGTTATGACCACATCAAATGGGTAACTTTTCAGACGTGCACTCCAACTTCACCTCAGCGCCAGGCGCTAGTCAAACGAGCGCGGAAATGGTAAAGGTGATGAGGGAGCTTCAGTAGAACAACGGTGAACTGTGGTCAAATGAGATGTTGTCAGGCCATATGTCAGTAAAAACTAATTTTCCTGTCCTGTCAGCCGTTATACTGTGCTCATAACACGGGCTCTTGAAGTGCACGCACAAATGCAGCAGCGCGTGCTGTGTATCATTTCATATTAAAGCACAAAAGAAACAAGAGGATGCAATGTCGTAGTTATGTCGTCAGTTAAGTCATGAAGTTACCATAAAGGCGATTAACTCTTTCCCCGCCTGCATTTTTCAAAAAAGTTGGCAGCCACCGCCAGCATTTTTTTTTACATTATGCAGTTTTCATTTATATGCTGCCATTGCTGATGATCGCATTATTTTTCATATCTATGTGTTTACATAAGAGATCGCTCGTTTCTCCGTCCTGTACACATTTGTTTTTGTTCGGGAGGTTTTGTACTCGTTCAGAAGATGTGTAATAGCGCCCCCTAGTGTATAACAGTGAAAACACGAAAAGCCGTAAAACCTCATCTTTGGCGGGGAAAGAGTTAAAACTGCCTTAAAACTGTGCATGCATGTATTTGTTATATATGGGTCACATTAAAGAACATGTCTCTGAAATTCAGTGCTTTTCAAAACTGTCCTGGAGCATCCCAGCATTGTTTCCCTCATCTAACATAGTAGCTCATTAGTAGAGACTTCAAACCTGAAGTTTGTCAGAAAAGGTAAAGAGTTGTGAGAAAATATGTTGCGTGTCAGATTGGCGTCATGTTCAGCAGCAGCACCTCTTAAAGCAGCCAAAATAACCTAATAACCCAACTCCTGTGATGTCTGTTAATCAAAGAAAAAAAGAGGAAATCAATAACTTTTGTAGCTTTAAGGATTCAATTGTTTAATTTAGAATTTAGTGTTTGGAGCTCGTCAGTGAACAACGGCTCTGTGTAGTTAATGCTGCTCAATGTGAAAGCACGCACGTGATGGAGATTTACCGCTGATTACAGAACCGGCTTTCTGACAAGATGCGCGTTAAATATCGCATGCGATTTATCGTGCAGCCCTAGTCTGAATCATTAGTTAGAATCAGTCTGAATCATTAGTTAATCTAAGTGATCCGGTGATCTGGTTCTTTTGAGTCCTATCTTTTCAGTAAATCAGAGAAGAGAAGATTATCAGTGAATAACTTGTCTGTTCATAACAGTTATCGTTTGACTTCAAAAGACTTGGAATATAGCGCATGAGTCATGATGCCCATTGTTCTAAATCAATTTCAGAAAGTCTTGCGCTGTCCCACACAGTTGAAATGATGAATTAACCTTAATAGACATCCATCACGTTTTTTCAGCTGAACGACGCGACCGCTGGAACGGATGCAGTGGCAGCATACTTTGTCTCTTTTGGCTCTGTGATTTTTAGCCCATCTCCTCCCTCTGGAGCTCGCTGTCAACTGAAACGCCAAGGACTTTGCTGTCAAGCTTGCCTTAAACATTGAATTTCCTTGGTCTCTTTCTTCTCTCTGAGTGTTCGTTGTCTTGGCTTTGTTTGAGGTGATTGTATTGGACCCTTTATTTGGGATTAGTGGAATTAACTTAAGTTTGTCCTCTCCACACAGGTGAAGTCGGTGAAAACTGGCTCGGTCTTCTGGGCCATTGGCTGCTGCCTCTCGTACTTTTACATGGTGAGTTTTCATTGGATTTTTTTTTACCTTCAGGTGGTTTATGGCATTTCATTTCTATTAATGGTACGTGGTAATGCTATAGTAAATTACTTGGACAGCTTTTCCTGCCACTGCTTATAGGAAATTACACTGCCGTTCGAAAGTTTGGGGTTGGGGTTTTTTCCTAATAGAAATGATGCTCACCAAGGCTGCATTTATTGTTGAAACATATAGTAAAAACAGTAATGTTGTTAAATGTTATTACAATTTCAAATAACTGTTTTCTATTTAATGTATTTTAAAATGTAATTTATTACTTTGATGGCAAAGATGAATTTTCAGCAGCCATCGAAGGGCACAGGTAAATATGACATTTATTATAATGGGTTTATTTGAGGATTGGTTTAAGTTCACTTAAATTAGAAGTTTTTTTTTCTTCTAATAAATGTTAAAATTTAAAGCTATCAATTATACTGAATAATTTTGTAATGTCGAATGCCTATAGTTAGTGGTTAAATATTAGGGGAAATAAAAAATTTCATAGAGACATCAGTAGTATTGGTGGATTGATGGATGCCATTAAACAAATGTTAAAAAATGTACTGCCTTTGTTTTTTTCCACATTAATTTGAAGACTGAATGTAAAGTTATTGCAATATAAAAGTATATTTAAAAACTTTAATGTTAGATGAGATTAATCGCAATTAATTTCAGAAAAAAATGTGTGATTTTAATTTTTTTAATCATTTGATTGCACTACTTTTTAGTAAATCACTTGATTTGGGTAACAAAATTGGTCTGAATCATTTGTTCATGAATCTGAATACGGTTCTCTGTTTATTGATCTTATCAATGAATCACTTGATTTGAATTGGTCTGCTGCATTTATTGTTGAAACATATAGTAAAAACAGTAATGTTGTTAAATGTTATTACAATTTCAAATAACTGTTTTCTATTTAATGTATTTTAAAATGTAATTTATTACTTTGATGGCAAAGATGAATTTTCAGCAGCCATCACTTCAGTGTCACATGATCCTTCAGAAATCATTCAAATGTGCTGATTTGGTGCTCAGAAACATTTCTTTTCAATGTTGAAAATCTTTTGTAACTTTATAAATGTATTCTAAGTATTAATTTCTTTTAAGAAAATGTACTTAGCCCAAACTTTTGAACGTAGTGTATAACATGACCAATGTAGTCCAATTTGGTATTAAGTGACTTGTGAATTTATTATTTTCGCTGACTCAGTCAGAACGACTATCAAATGAGTTACAAACAAACCCATCAGTCTAAAACGGCCCATTTACCTACTGAATCAATTGCGCATTTTGGAATTAACATTTGATTCACTCACTGAACCGTAAGTCATTACTTGGGCTTATCAGTTGATTCATGAACTTTGTTTTACTTAAGGTTCATGAGGCGTAAAACAGTGTAATTGCTATGAAATTGTTACATAATATAAAGTTAAGTATCCATAATCATTAAGTGGAATCGTGAGCTGAACCAGAATCATTAAATTCTTATGATTTCTGTCCATAGTGTTGGGTGTTCTGGGGCTGGTTGCACGTCTCTCTTGCTCTTTTTCAACCCATTAATGTGATATGTAAAATAAATGAAAAAGCAAACAGCGCCATCCATCATGCCACCCGCCAGTCGGTTATGAATATCAGCCATTTCTGAAACTTGAGATTCTTCCCCTGGAGGAAGGCAGCGCTCATTAATAATGGAAGCCTACAGCCCTGCCCAGCACCCAATAGACTCTGGCTTTCCAAATGTCTTTATAAACATAAATGACACCAGTGTAATCGGAGCCATCTGCTCCATCGAGACCTTGGGGTCCAGTACAGTTCGATATGGCCCAGAGGCGCTACCGGGGGGCGTGAGTTGAGAGATGCTCGCTTGAACGGGACATCCTCGGTGACCTAGAAAAGTGCAGAGGTTCCAAAGGCTGAGTGTGCTAATGGAGTTTTCTGGTAAATGTGGTGTATCATAAGGGTGAGAGCCAGCAGAGACCTGGGCGATATTATATATAACTTGGTCACGACACACTGCGTTTCTTTACCTTTAGTGTGTGGTTATTCAAACAGTGGTATATATGGGTGTGAGTTAGGCTATTTACAAACTGCCTTTTTTACGATGTGTCACTATGCAAAATCCATTGATATAAATGGGAATAGTGCGCTGTCAAGATGAGAGAGATACCACAAATGTCTACAGTACAGTTTGCTGTATTTCTGCTTTATTTAAATTTAGAACGGCTCTTTCCATGCCATAAATGAGCCTACACATTCGTTCCTGTCAAACGCTCTGTCAAAGTGTCGTAGTGTGTAGGCAAACTAAAGCAGTCATAGGACACAACATACAGTCAAGATATATCTGTGTTAAAATTATTCTTAACTCAATCACGGGTGAGTGAAATCTAACAGTTTATTAGCCAATGGCTAATAACAGACATTTAGTTGCCTAGCACAAAATTGAATTGGTGCTGTTTTCTGAACTAATTTTGGGGTTTCTGGGTTAAATATATTTAGGGGAGCGTCATTTTACCAGCGTTGCCCAATACAGCTGTACTACACCATGTTACAGCACAGTAGCGCTATTGCAAACAGGAACAAGTATACTACATAGAAATTTCCTGTCCTGCTATTTGAGCGGACTTTGCTTTTACAGTGAGCATGAGCGGTATGAGTATGGTATGAGTGTTTGCATGGGTCGTGTGCAACTCAACAGAACGCACATTCATAGAGCAGAATATTGAGCGGAGCTTCACACCACGCAGTGACTGCTAGAGGGAGAGTGAAATCTGCACGCTGAACACTGCTGGGCGGTGCGGCGCGCCATACATTTTCGGCCCATATTTTCGCCCACTTTTCTCTTTTGCCCAAAAACTGAAAATGCCATTTTTGGCTGATAATTTTCGGTAGCCGAAATTTCAGTGCATCCCTACAATACATTTTATTAAATGGAAAAAAACATTTTAGTCGACAATGTCACATCGTAACAAACCAAACTTAAACAAATGTATGTTTGCGAGGATTTAAAAAAAATTTTCTTTACATTTTTACTAGGGGTGTAACGATTCACTCGTTTTCTCGATGCATCGATTACAAACCCTGCCGATGCATATGCATCGATCTTGAAACATGGATTTTTGAATTGTGAATCGCCGATTTCGGACAGTAATCGATTTAAAACGCTAAGAATCGAATGAATCGCGATATAGCGATTCAATGCTTTCAAAATATATACACATGTATACGAATGTACGAAGGAAACTGTTAAAATAACCACAGCATTAACAACAACCTTGAAATAAGAGCAGAGGTTTATCTGATAATCAGATGCAAGAAAGTAGCATTTGTTGCTATAGCAAACAGACATCAGGTGCGTTTTCTTTCAGAATCATCATTCGCCGATGGAGAGGAAAAGTTAAATACTATAATTGACATCATTTATTACAGTACAGACACTATAAAGTATATTTTCTACCTTATTCTGTGCAGAAAACTGAAATAATTGTAGTATATAAACATAAAATTGCCATTAGGAAAAAATTATAGATTACAAATGATTGATTATTGTCCAGCAGTGTATTTGATTTCTTAGAGCAAATTCAAAGTAAGAGATAAGAAAATAATTCCTTGTAAATAATAATACATACATACAATTATTGTATTTGACATTTCTGTCACTTCTGAAATGATGGTTACGCCCCTGGGTGTGACAAAACGTTAGCCTATACATAATACTTTTAAAAACTTTTTTTTTTTTAAATCTTGGCTTACATAAATTTCTATATATGCCATGTCATGCCATAGCATCATTAAACTAGCATCTAACAATGGACAAGTGTTTTTTTTTTCTTTTTCTCTAACCTATGGTTCTGTAACCATAAAGGCTGCTGTGTAATTTGCCCCCCTGACTAGGCATTTAAATACTTTAGGGAAAGCATTTAAATAATCCTGTGAATACACTTAAAAAATGCAGAATCGAATCGTTGATCGAATCAAATCGAATTTAATTGTGAATAGAATCGAATTGAATCTTTCTGAATTGGCAAAAATCGTTCTTGAATCAAATCTAAAACCTATGAATCGTCGAATCAAATCGATTCACAATGTGAATAACTTAATATGCTTATGAAGATTAATATACACAACATAAACACGCAAGACACCATGAAGGACTTTTTTTCATTGTTGTAACCTGAACCCCTGAAATAATAGCATTATAATTAATATACTGAAGTATTAGCTACTTGCCTAAAACTATTGATTCCTAAACTGAGAATCATGATGCAGTATCATGAGGCAAAATATTGCAGTATGCTGTGTTTTATTGTGTGCCACATGACATGTGTTTTGTGTTGCAGGTGTCTGCGTGGGGAGGATATGTCTTCATCATCAACCTGATTCCTCTCCATGTTTTTGTGCTGCTCCTTATGCAGCGCTTCAGCAGGAGGCTGTACATCGGTGAGTCACCTGTGTTGTGTGTATGTTTGTGTGAGCGTCTCTGGTTTTTGTATGAAGTGCACACATCACCGCCCATACAATCACGCCACGTAGTGCTTGTTCTCCTGTACAATAATGAAGCATGAACCTGCTTTTTCCCACTTGCTTTTTGATTTGGACACACAGAGATGCTTGTGCAGTCGTGGTTGACAGCATGAGTCTCTCTATATTGACAGCAGAATTTAAAGTTGACTTTAATGTTTAATGGCACATTTTTTCCACCCACTTCACTCTTGCATTTCACAACCAACCACATAAGCAGCGCTGATCTGAGGATACATGGATCTTCATGTCATGGAAAAAGCCTTTGAATTCAGATTCGCTGTCTTAAATGCCAAAACAGCATGCTAACTGTGTCAATTAGAACCTCTGCTAGCACGAATAAGCTAGCATAAGCTAAGACAACAGTTATTTTCCTTTAAGAGCAAAGAGTAATTTTTGGAGTACTTTTGTTCATCTTTGATGGGTTCCGCCAAAGTTTAGGTGGATTAATAATTAAAGGTGCAGTGTTTTTGTGAGGCTCCTGAGTGAGCACTCTGATAAAAGAATGGGGCCTTGTGCCACTGGGCTAATTTTGTTTAAATCTTTATTAGCCCCTCCCATTCTGCCGCAGCTGCCGGTGCAAAATGCGCTACTGATGGATGCTGGGTATTAGCTCAGTTCGTCTCCTTTCTGGAAAGTTCTTGCACTTGCCGCAGGTCCCACTACATATTTGCCATGGCCCGACTCCACATGGAGTATCACTGCCACCTGTCCTAATAGATCATAGTGATTAGATTAAGTAGCACTGCTCTCGGTTTATGGGGCCGGGGCTTGGACAAAGAACAGCAGTCATGTTTAGAGATGGATGGAGAATGGAGTAAAACCAGTGGGATCTGTTTATTGCGTTTCTGTTTCACCTTGTTGTCTCCTCCTAGAGTGACGTCTGCTTTGGTAGCCTCAGACATCACGCTAACAGTTTGTGTAATGACTGTTTAATGTATATCTAGCCCACAGAAATGACATGAACTGTCTGTAAATCATCATGTCCAAACTGATTGGCTAGTTGATACTTAACTTTCGAGGGTTGCCTAAGTTGGTTTGCCAGTAGCCCTTTTTCTCGAGTCTTCGGTGGCACATGATCCTTCAGAAATCATTCTGAAATGCTAATTTGGTGCTCAAGAAACATTTCTTGCATATCAATGTACAAAACAGTTATGCAGCTTAATATTTTTGTGGAAACCATGATACTTTTTTTTTCTGGATTCTCTGAATGGAAAGTTCAAAGAATGTAATTTCATTGAAATGGACATGTTTTATAACGATGTAAATGCTTGTATTCTGTTTAATGCATCCTTGCTGAATAAAAGTATTTTCAAAAAAGATTCTTTCTGACGCCAGCTTGTGAAGGGTAATTAAACTAAAAGGGACAAATTCTAGTTTAATTTTGTGAGAGTCTTTCTCACATATTTACTGTACTTTCAGTCACAGAGACCCAGGACTTCTATAGCTAATATATCATGTAGGGATGTTCATTTTAACCAGTTAACCGATGGTAAGAATTTTGACCGAATAATACAATCAGTTAAACGGTTTAAAAAGTCATTTAATTTATTTTTTCAGTAATTTATCAAAATATTTAAAACGGTTTGCTGCATGGTTAAAATACGCTACGAGTATAAAAAATGTGTTTTTTAGGGGGAAAAAAAACAAGTCTCGTATAAGTCGCATTTTATTATTTCATTCAGAAATAGACCTAATGCCGACGCGAAATGTTTACAAACATTATAATAATAAACAGTTTAAACATAGCTAGTGTTAGTTCCCCTCACTCCACAACAAATCCTTTCAATTAACAGTATTTAGAAAAGAATTAAAAATATAAGAAGCTATAGCAATATAAATGACAAGCCAAAACGAATT